AATTTAAAGCACGGTGGGTTTCCTATCTCACGACGAGATAAGATTGATTTCCTATATTTTAACTTTGTGTGCAAGACTACCATTCTTCTTCCTATTGGCTCCTATTTTTTGTTTGATTTTTCTTCTTTTCAAATCACCAAACTGTACGTATAAGCAAAATACTATAACAACAAGAATCAATAATATGTGGTTAATGAGATCAAGGAATCAAATTAGGAAGAGAAGTTGGCTATATATCTTTCTGTTGGATCAATTATTATCCAATGATATTACTAAGCCATGGTGTCGGTTTATGTTTTCACACGAAGAGTTTTGATGTATTTTACAAAACAATATCTGTGGTCCAACGCAGTTAGAGGATCTTATTATCAAAACAAAATCCATAACAACACATTCAAGAAGAAAATATGAAAAAGAACTCTAGCAAAAGTGGAGATGAAACGTAACTATATATGGATCACAATGATTTAAGCAAACATTGGTGAAAGAAAAAAATATGGAGAAACCAAGTACGTTTTTACTCGTACTTTTGAAAAGTTAAAAATTCATACGAAAAACATACATACTTTAAAGTTAAAAAACATTCGTCTGCTATTAGAAAAAGATGGTAGTATGATAATTGAAATAAAAAATAAAAGAAAAACTACAGTAGACGTAATAATATGTCATCTTGTGATGTAATTTATTGATTTTGGGAAGAAATTTAAAGCAGTTGGGTGAAGGAGTTGGAGAGGAGGGGAAAAGAGGTATACGAGGAGACAGAGGAAGAGGCTGAGAGTGCCCAAAAGGGTTTGCCAAATGAAGAAAGCTAATAAGAATAGACTATATATGTTCAGAGCAATAATTAACTCTATAGTTATAACTCTCACTTTCTCTTTCTTTTTTCGTTTCTTCTTGTAAATTGTCAGCGAAATTTAAGGGCTACGAAGTACCCTCTTACAATCATTAATTTCGACAACCAGTCGTTTTTATCTCTCTCTCTCCAAGCATTTAGTGTGTCATAAGACTCATGATTCACTTTGTATTTGTAGAGACGAGCTTAGATAGTTAGATCAATCTCATAAACCCTCTATCATTTATATTTCTCGGCAAGTACCAAAATTCTACTTGAAAATGGACAAAGCCATTTCCCAAAAGAAATTGTTTTGTTAGGGTTATGTGTGTTATCCTAAGCTTTTTCTTTTTGTTGTCATCGCATAATATAGGCTCCCATCACTTTAGATTTATAAATATAAAAAATACTAAGCTACTAGGGATATGTGGGAATAACACGTGTTTTTACAACTAATACCCTTTTTTAGTAAGTGCGTCTAGTACATCGATCATGGTTTTTGATTGAGAAAAAAACATTAGAAATCAATTACGAATATATATTAAACGTTCAACATTGTTATGAACTAATACGTTTAGCAATATTTTTACAAAAAAACTTTCAAAATATTTGAGACTCTAGCTAGTGTTTGTATCTATACCATAGGGTATGATATAGTTAGTCTTTTTCTATATGCATTTGTATATCATTAATGAATAATGAAAAGGGTTTGTAGAATATACGAAAAGCTTAACCTTTTTTTTTTTTCGACTGAATTTTTCCATTAGATAATACGATTGAAGGATATAAGGTAAGATGCGTTTTTGGAATACAAAGCCGGCAAGAGATAATCTCTTCCAGAAACAAAGCCGGCGGAAAATGAGTAAATCCCCGGAAACTAAGCCCAAACAAGGGAAGCATAAGATAGAAACAGAAATAAGACTAAAAATAACTCTAAAGATAAAGACTTGCCAACACAAAGCTCCCTTGAACCAAATGATCAAAGCCAAACACTAAACACATGTAGCGAAACCTCCTATAGTGAAGCAATACTACCTTTCACAACCAAGTGAACCTAAGCTACTATTCCGGCAAGAGAGAATCAAGGCAAAGCAAATCAATTCCCCTACTACTCCCGAAAACGGCGATATCGACTCAGCGACAATTTAACGCCTCGTTAGAAGCCTTTGAACCGACCAAACCTCGATCAGGTCTTAACTGTAGAAACAAGGAGCGAAACAAATCTTCAACCGGATGAAACCAATCTCAAAAGAGAGCAGCACAAGATCGAACCGGGAAGAAACCATAAAGACCACCACTAGAACCAGGGAGCACGAGTAAACAAGTCCAACAACCAAATAGAGATCAAGCTAGTCACCAGAACCGTTACAAATAACCAAAACACATGAACACAAAGAGGAAGCATGAGAGACGAGGGAGGGACCGAGGTACCGAGAACGGAGCCGTTGTTGCTCAGATCCAGTGAAGGAAGAAGGCCAGAGCCTCCTCCGGTGCTCCAAATGCAATGAAACACGTGACCAGAGACAAAACGAAGATCCACACCATGAGGCAGAGGCGAGAACGACGACTCCATCTTCACCATCTACCTTAAGGCATGTCGATTTCGGTCTCATAGAACCAAACCTCGATAGATCTGATATTCGATACAACCCAATCCACCTCGCCGAAATCACCACGCTTCACAACCGAAGAAAGCAAAGACAAGAGATAAGAGAGGGGACCGACGCTGGCGCTTTAGGAGCCACCACGCGCCGGTCAGATCTAGCCAAGACGGTGAGTTGAAGAAGAGCGGCGATTAGGTTTTAGAGAGAGAAAGTTGAGGAATTAGTGTGTATTCACAAAAATCTTAACCTAGTAGTCATTTCTTGCCAAAAAAAAGGAATAAAAAACAAAAAAGAGCTAAAGCAACAACAAAAGCATTTGGGATTGTTGTTATTCATTAGTGAGCCAACTTTGCATTAGGCCACCAATATGCTATAGTTATGGATTTATGGTATAGTTATAGAAAACAATACGGAAATATTGGTGGTGTACACATAATGACATGAAGAGACGGATGTGACAATAAAAAATTAAAAAGAAATAAAAAGGTCCCGTACGAGGAGGAGTAGTAGGCTCTTTGGCTCCACTTCTCATTGTATCCGTACCATATGGCATATGCAGCCACGTCAATGTCCCATCTTCTCTATCTTCGTGTTTCTTCTTTCTTTTTTTTACTCTTTCTATTCTTCAACTTGGTACGTTGCAACTCGCACTGATATTTTTATAAAAATCTCTACAATAATATAAAATTTTCATTTGTGGGCAACACTAGGGTTTTGTGCCAATACCAATCCTCGTTTCTCACCCATATTTCTCTGACAGTACACGAGTTTATGGTATACTAAGCAATGATCTGGAGTTATGCAATTGTTAAAGCTATATTCCCATATTCGTTTGTGTATAGCTGAACTATTAGACGAGTCCATATCTCAGGGATCATTATGTATGTATATTTAATGAAAATTAATTAGCCTACAGGGCTCAACCAACTAATTATCTGACGTATTATGGTTTAATTTTTTTTTGTCATCATTAGAGAAATTGAACCTGCAGGAGAATCCCTTAAATACCAAAACACCAAATATAATGCCACTACATAAGGCAAGTTGTTTGAGCTATCGCTCCATTTAGCGCTAAGTTGGCAAACAAAGGAAAGTGTCCACACCAATTTGTAAAAACTAATTGCTAAATGTTTTTCCTATGACCATAATTTACATAGATATTCAACATTTGATCAATATTTATATATATACATGAAAAATTGTAGAGTGTAAATCACATTGTTTCAAGTCCGATTAATTAATACTTACCAAAAAAAAAAGTCCGACTAATTAATAAAGATTAAATTTATTGCATCTATGTCCCTAGTCTTTTTAAATAAGTACTAACTTTTTGCAATACAATTCTCCTAAATCAGCAAGTTCCAAAAAATTGCGTAGGCAGGATCACAAATGAGACGCCGATATAATAGGTCTTTGGAAGCTTTCAGCACAACAGTAAGCCTAATGACAAGGGATCTCATACGATCCGACGAAATCGATTAGTTTTTAAATGAAGTCAAATATGCACATTATTTTTTATGTGTTAGAGTGATTCTACAAAACTGTTTGATTAATTATAGCAGGAGACATCAGATGAAGATATTAAATAGCTGAGGAACTCACTGAATTATTCAGAAATTTCAATTTGCTTGAACTAACAGGCTTTATATATGCGAAAAAATGTTTCAGGCCTTTTAATTTTTATTATAGGTATGATATGATATGACACAAATTAAAGTTGGTGACTATTGCATAATTTGTCGTCTAACGGATAGCCAAGAGAGTAGTCTTTTCTTTCTTCATCAAATATGGGATATATATAAATTAAAGCTCTCGAATATATAATTCTGTTAAGTGTTGTTTATTTGGATATTGGCTTAAGATAAGTTGTAGGTAAAAAGCGCCATTCGATGAGACCAAATAGCAAAGATGATCACTTTTTAGAAAAACGAAAAAGGACCAATAAAACATGAAAATGTGAAAACCCCCAAAAAGTTTTTCAAACACTCAATAATTAAATATGAAGAAAAAAAAGAAAAGAGAGAGACAGAGAAGCAGAAACGGTAAGAGGAGGGACCAAAAGAAAGGAAACGTCTGAAGAAAACCCTAAACCCTAAATGGTGACGAGTGATAGAGAGAGAGATGAAGGAGCTGTCAAATGTGTCAATTCCATCGATCCACAAAACTTAATGCTTGTGGGCTACGCAACGCATCTCTCTGCTCTCTTCGTTTTTTAACACTCTTGCTTGCTCCATTAATTTACTCTATCTTCAATTCCTTTCTCTTTTTATCCCTCAGATTTGCCTTTTTAATTAATTATGGCCACAGTGAGTGTTAATGAGCTTTGGTATATTTGGTATCTTCGATTACGATGTGCAACTGTTTCCCTAATCACTCTCCCTCTCTCTCTCTCTAATATTCAAGAAAATCTCAACCGTTGATCTCTTTCTCTTTCTTCTATTTAAACACTTTACCCTTTCCTACTTTCTTCACCCTAAATCTCTTCCTCTCCTTCAGATCTCTTTAGTCTTTACTATTAGGGTTAGCATGTTGATGACTTCAGATTCTGAAGTTAGTGGCAGTCATTGTTTGCTATTGCAACATCTTCAAGATTCAGAAATCAGATTCTCTTATGGGTTTTCTTTTGAGCCTTTATTTTTTGGTTTGAGAATCTTGATGATGCTGCAGCGGCAATTAAATGGCTTACTTATCTAGGGTCTTTTTTTCCATTTTCATCATGTGGTTAATCAGAAATCCAGATCCTCATATGTAGAATCCTCCGATATGATAACTTGAGGTGAAACTTATTTCACAGGTATGCATATGATTATATATATATAAGCACACATATATATATATAATAGATTTGTGTGTGTATAAACATATTTGTGGACAAAACGATGATGAATGATTTGAAAAACGAATATGTATATACTACTCTCAATTGATTAAGTGAACCCTTGCTTATAGATCTTTTTTTAAAAAAAAAAACTTTTTGCTGCACGATGGATAGATCCTGAAAATTTCCAAAAAGGTTTTAGGGTTTCTTTCTAACGACAAAGTATATAAGACCTGTTTCTGTAGACTCAAGGTGATTCATAAATGCATAAATTTGATTTATATAATAATGACTGAAAGGGTTTGGAGGAATTGGACATATGTATGAAGGAGCATGTATATGTCTGTTGTTTTATGTTCGGTTACATCAGGTTATGTCTCTTCTCTTTGTCCACTGGTTAATCAAATGACTCATCTTCATGTGAAACCAAACCCCTTGTTTTTCGTGTCCATGTTTCTTTATGTATGTGATTAGATCTCTATATATGTTTCTCTAATGTAGTAGATGATGATGTGATGTATTTGACAGGTTTGTATAATTCTTATAAGAGTTCTCGACTTTGGATCTATACATATTTTTCGAATTTGATTCCTAAATCGGATTTGAGAAGAATCTCATTTCTTTTTCTTGTTTTTTATTTCTTATTGTTTTGTTTAGGGTCTTAAATCTGAATCTAAATGTAGTAGTGCCAACTCGAACTATGATCTACCTGAATCTGTATATGAAATCGAAATTTTACATATGAGAAAGGTTTATATATGAGAAAGAGATTAGTTTGTGTACGTTGCTTGTTGTGCAGTTGTTCTCTGCTGCAAAGATTCGCTCATGTATTTTTATTAACATTTAAGATCTACTAAGAATTTTTAATAACATGGATACCATTTTATTGATGGAAAAGTCCATATCTACGTAAAAACAAAACTGTGTGTGGGTAATCTTGATTTTCAAAGATTTATACAGATGAGAATTCTAATTAAATCAAACTTGCTTCCTAATTATAAACGTTTGATCTCACTGATGTGTGAATTTCTGATATGTGGACTTGGATAAAAATTACAACACCAAAAGGTTTTAGTTTGTTTTGTCGAGCATATGCATGATGAGTTACTCCAAACATGATGCAAGTGATGAAGGTTTGAGTCATGGATCCTTTTTTCAATATTCCAAACAAATGAGTTTATCTACAAATAATCATCAATGGAATGGTTGGCTAAGATGTAAAATAATACTAGAAGGTCAAAAACTTGGATAAAAATTAATTCAGACTACCCAAATTATAGTTAGGTTTGAAAACGCGTTTTTATCCGATATGGGTCTAACGTCAAAATTGGGGCTTAATTACTAAACTAAGCAATTTTGCAAGATTATCATTAGTACGAGTTTTTGGGCCGGTTATGCTGTTAAAGTTTGGGTGGTCTGTGAATTCGTATATTGTAATTTAAAGTGTGCGTTTTAAGTTGCAAACGTCGACCTTAGTGATATCGTAAGATGTAAAGACTTTCGTTGTGAATGGTGGTATCATTATTTAGACGTTGTTAAACTTTTCTAAAGGTAATGTTACGCACATTTGGAATCTTAGGGTTTTAATCTGGTGATTGGTCGCTTAATTTTATGCTTATCCCAATTAATAGCATTGGACAATTAAGGCCTTTGTAAATTTGGGCCTTTAATTTTGGGCCTCAACTATCGGTGTATGCACATACTATTTTTCTTAACCCTCGGTCCTCCACTCCTCCTAAGACACTTTTGCTAATCAAAATAGTTTTTGTTGAGTTCACTACTTTAATCTACGAAAATCTAGTGACCCAGGGGCTAGGTTAAATTGGAGACTCGTACGATACTCGTGAGATAATTAGTAATGGTTAGCATCTATGAAGTATACAGTAAGAGATTCGGATTAGTGACTTAGTGTTATTGGTGATTGTCATCCTGATCACAATGATTGGAACAAGATTTGGTGTTTGACTAATATGGATTTTCTATAGATACGTCTCTGCTTTTTATATTCAATGCAACTGTTAAGCGATAATGACTTCTGAAAATTACAAGAATATAAATCATCAATACGATTACGAAATTAATCCGAGTGTACCAATATTCTTATATAAGTCTTAGTTTTTTTTTGGACCTCTGTTTTTTCTTGTCCTTATGTTGTGGAGTGAATATGACTGTTGTTGGTGGAATAATGAATTTGTACTGAGAAAGCAAATAAACAGTTACAGTTGCAGAGAAAAAGGTCAGTGAGAGTTTAGATTTGCTTTGATGCCTTTAAAATCTCTCTTTTTCCGCTTAAGCTTTTCCTATTTTCTGACTTCTGTAGTACTGTACCCGTTTTTTTTTTTTTGTTTCTTTGGATTTTGAACTTTTCACATTTGTTTTTTGCATGTTTAGTTTTTTTTGGTTAAATTTTTTACTACGTGAGTTATTGAGGTTTTCAGCAATAGGTGCCTCTAAATAATCCCATATTTTTAAAAAACAAGACTATATTTTTGGGGAAATAAAGTTAGCGTTTAATATTCAAATGAAAGCTCATTACTTGGTGTTATTTTAATTGTTCTTTCTAGTCAAACCGTTTTTTTGTTTGTTTTGTGTGTGTTCAAAAGGATATTTAACTGTTAACCATTATAAATGCGGAAGTACCCCCTACACTCTTTTCCTTAACTCTCTCTTTAACTTTGCTGAATCCCATATTCGAGAAAACTCTCAAATCCATCAGTCTCCTAGCAAGATCAGAAGTCTAAGAATCTTCAGGCAAATGTCTCGACTGAGAAACTCGGCACAGTTGCAGCTATCGAAAAAGGAAAGTCTTGGAGACAACGGAGGCGCGTTGAACACCACGCGTTCCTCTAGACAGAAACAGGGGAAATACGGTTTCACGAGGAAGTGTGGGAGATTGGTGAAAGAACAAAGAGCTCGCTTTTACATCATGAGGAGATGCGTCGTTATGCTTATTTGCTGGACTGATCATAATAATAACAACTCTGACCACTCCTAAATCAACGTCAAAACCCTATCTTTCTCTTCTTTTTCTTGCTTCTGTTTTGAACTTTATTTTAAGAGTAGATTAGACACAAAATGTACATAAATGATTCTACTTCTGGTTGTAATTTAGATTTGAATGTTTGTGTTTGTGTTTGCTTTTGGTCATCACTCATCAGTTTCAGTGTATGCACTTGAACATGTAGAGGATAGAAAGCAATTAGTATAAAATGGTGAATTAGATTCGTTTTTCTTATTATTGTCTTACGCCGATATGTTCAGATCACGAGTTATGACTTAAATGTGTCAAGACTAGAGTAAAGATTATTAAAATATAATCAAAAGGGTTCAAATCTAAAAAAAATCAAATGTGATTAGGATTTTCGAACATCATTGAAGTCAATGGACAATTATGGTAACTTCGAAATGTTCTAAAAGAATAATGTTGTTATACTATAGTGGATTGAACATGCGAAGTATAAAAGATTATCTTTTTAAAGTAATACAATTCAAAGAATCTTCTTCTTTTTAGCCAGAAACAAAGATTAGCTTACATAAATATGAAGACACTTATTTTATACAATGGATTATGCTCTGGATTACGTAGTCCAACATTACATGAAATAGCTGCCTCTTAAATACTACAAGAAGAAATATTTTAAACAAGAACACATATTCAGATTTATAAAACCACTACGTAATATTTGGTCCCGCAATTTCCATTGTAATCACTATGACCAGATTAATTATTGTTCTTAATAGGCTAATAGCTACAATAAATAAATGATTAAATAAACAGAGCTGGTGCTAGAACGATGGAGTTTCTTTAAGAAAGAATGTCACTACTGCTAGAGTCCTCCCCATCGAGCTACTGCTGAAGAAGTGATGATATTTTATAGAAAATATGTTTCTAGATAGTTCTCATCAACTTATTTGTTTACATAGAGGTATTTTATTGTTTTTTTTTTCACTTACAAGTGCAAGGCAACTATCGCGTTCAATGATATTTTCCAGTAGCACAACAATTTTGGGATTCGCATTTGGGAGGCTAGATTGAAAAGAATGATTGGTACTTTAAACTATATGTTTTCGTCATCCGATTAAGTGATTTTTGGTTTAGCAGTTTCTTTAGAAGAGAATTATCTAGTTCGAGTCCACCTAGAGGACCCGGTATTCTTAAAAGGAATATATTAAAGAATGATCCCATGTCTACAAAAATTAGGACTTAGATCTGAATTTCTCGAACTTTTTAAAAAAAACATGTGAATACCTTTTACATTTGTCATTTATACATGATACAATCGAAAAAATAAATTATGTAGGTGTATATTTGAGTGTGTTGGAATCTTTTCTCTTTGTTCCTTTGTACTACATTATTCGTGTTTTTCTAATCGTCGAGTTTCTCGATGTAGCTATTGTTTTACTTTTGATACTTAGCTTTGTGGTGACATTACGATTAATTAGTAGGTTTTCAAAAAATTTAGGTTTTTAACGTTTGACCTTCAATGATCTCTTTTTTTTTTTTAAATTAAGAATCTTTCAATTATTCTGGCAATGATTATACAGATGAATTTTTGGGTGTTCTATATATATATGACCACTATCTCAACATATCTGCTCACATCAGTTTTTGAATTATGTACAACTACCATCCTAAATTATATTTTTGTTATTCATGTATATAGCACACCACATACAAGTTTGGGACTAATCAAGTTTGACAAGAAGGGTTTAAATATTCAAGTCATGTCGTTATTTATAGTCTACAAATTTTATGGATTATACCTACACCTCTCTATGAAGAAATTGGCTGCCTTTAAACATATAGAGATTCAAATGGGTCCGATTTAATTTTCCTATTAAAATTTTCAATATATGGT